GTCAGTTTGTATGAGAAAACATGCAAGGTAATTCGAATAATTGATTACTAAATCAAAAACTGACCCAAAGATAAAAACGAACAGAAATAAAAAGTCAATAAACATAAAATCAATCCTTTATAAGTAAAAGGTTTGACCTGATAAAGTATTTAAAATAAAAGTTACACATATTTATTATAGTACGGCGGAAATCACCGACAATCATTTCACCGATAAAATTTCCCGACATTATTTCAAAGTTATCCGTTTCTGGTAGTTTTTATCAGTGAATTATAATACTAATCCTTTTTTTCCTGAAATAGAAATGGTTGTAATCTGAATTACACTTCCAGGTTAATGAATTATGCAGCATGTAAGACTATGTCCTATGGTTGCAATGTTAATGTATTGTTCGTTGGTATTGGTTATTATTATAGTTAGACAAATTTGCAAGAATTAGAATGTGAAAACATAACAACTCTTAGATGACCCTGGTCAGCTCAGGTCCCTACATTAACCACATATACATAATATTAATAAAATACTCATTGATATTATTTATATTGTGATGAGACTAAGTATAAGATGAGAATTGATCTAATTGGTTATGCACCATAATAATAATGATATATCACATTGTTGGCCCTGGGTTTCTAAATTTCTTGCCATTAATTATAATATGATGATGGATAATGTTTGTTTTGCACAATTCTTGTTGATACAGGAGCAGCGATGTGAATATTATAACAAGAGTTCGATTTTTCTCAAGTCCTTGAAGAGCAAAATAACATTACTATTGCCACTGAAGTGTGAAATCGAGAACGCGATTCAAAAATTTTTTACTTTTTAGTTTTCTTATTCTAATTCTGGGATACGTTATATGGGACATGCTGCAACAAAACCAGACAAAGTGAACATTTAATTACCGTATTTTTCCAAAAATAAGCAACACCCGCAAATAAGCAACACTCGAAAATAAGCAACATTTCAAAATAAATAATTTACCTTTATAAATGTATTCAATTAGTTATTTTATTTTATACAATAAAGAAAATGATTAATCCGTCTCATCAATGATGTCAATGATAGTCAGTGGTATTATCGACAGAAATTACATAATTCAGTGGGATTTTATTAAACTACCCGAAAATAAGCAACACTATAACAAAAAAGTGTTGCTTATTTTTCGGGAAAATGCGGTATTAGTATGTGATATAAATGAGAGGCTGATTATAATGTGGCTATAATATATAAAATTGACCAGTGTGACTGATGACGTTTTGAAAAGTAATAATGGTGCATTCATAACTTACAGTATGTATTATATTATGGGCTTGCTAATTTTAATGTTCCCTTTATATTTATCATACCAGAATGATGAATATAACCATAACATGAGCAATATAGGATTATCCCTATATAAAAAATATTTATATAAAATTAATTTACATTTAATATTAAATCCACTATGGAACCAAAACTTACACACTATTAGAAGCATTCTAAAAAAGGAACAAGGAAAAAAAATTGCCCCTTACATTTTCAAAATCAACAATACCCAGACTCTCTCCAGGAATATCTAGATAAAGAAAAGATTACAGTCATACCTCGTTTATATCCCCACTTTGGGACCCGAGATTTTTGGGGATATATCTGAGGTTGGGATATAACTGAGGTATAACATTTTCATAAATAATATCATGCAATTTTATTGGTTAATAAATTCCATTAGTGACGTCTGGCGTTTTGACATTTCTACTGCTTCATCTAAGCGCTTAATTATATTGCGGATATATCTTATATCACTTTCTGTCGTAAATTCTCTTTGTTCTAAAAACTTCCTGGCTGTCACAAGTGCTTCCCTTCCCACCTTTACAGAAATACTTGCTTCTTCTTCCTGATTTTATGGCCTGATTCACCTAACCACATGAAGTAAATGATCGGCTGTCCCGCACAAATATATATATATATATAGAAATGGCATGATTTCTTGTGTAATTTATGGGATATAAGCGAGATTGGATAACTATAAAATTGGGAAATTGGGGATTGTGAAAGTTGGGGATAGGGATATATCTGAGTGGGATACAACTGAGGTATATTTATATGGAATCAGAATACGGAAATTCGTCCCGCGCCAAAGCTGGGATATAAGTGAGGTTGGGATATAACTGAAGGGGATAACTGAGGTATGACTGTAATAAATATAATGATGAGAATAACAATAGTTAAGACTCATGCCTGCATTATGTTATGGTATCCTTGTCATCTTTTTGTTTTAACTTTACAAGAATTCTGTCTATTTCTTCAACTATACCGAATAGTGTCTCTTCAGTTTCCATTGAGAATTGCGTCACCAAAAACGAGCAAACATTTGATTGACACAAGAAATCGCTGGCCACGTCTCTCAACCTTTCAAGTATGAAGACAATTGGTGGTTGTAATGTCATATCTGGCACTTTCCATTGGGTTTTACCTTCTCTCAAGATATCATCCCCTTTTACTTTATCTGCTTTTTCCTCCAATTGTTCTTCATTGTTTCTCTCTCCATGTTTGTCTAATCTATTTGTCTCTATATTTCTTAATAGTCTGTTACCAATAAATTTGACCATTTTCCAAAACACAGTCCAATTCCATCCTGAATTAGTCATCAAGAGTGTCTGACATGTCTGCACAAATTCTTCTGTTCCCATCACCTCCTTTACATCTCTAATAGCATATTCAATTTCATCCAAGTCTTCTCTCAACCCCGAGTAAGTAAGATCGAGATTGGTTGAATTTGCCCAGTTATGATTTATTGAGATGGTATCACCAATATTCTCTGTTTGATGATACCAACCTGAAGGCACAAACAGAGTTTCCCCTGCATGTTGATAGACAATAAAGCGTTTTGCTTTGGAAAAGTTGGGAAATTTGTTATTATCCACTGAACGAATATCATAAACTTTGTTGTTCAAAGAGTCTTTGAAAAATTCTTCTTGATGAGGTGGAAAGAGTGTCCACTTTTTTATCCCGCAAATGTTGGATGACCAGGAATTCGATCTCATTATAACAAAAGATGAGAGGAAAAAAATTTAGAGTCTACATGTGTGCGTGAGTGTATGGACATTGACAAGTAAAGAATCTGTTACAAATAAAGGATTTGGATATCTGACTGCAATTCCTATTAATTGCCTAAAGGATTACCTGTAAACATCACAATGGAATGGCGAAAACGTTGAATCTCCTCCCTGCATACCATAATAAAAATTATCAAATGGGAAGGGGGGGGAAAGAACTTGTCACGATCGAGACATTCTTTTCGCATACCAATCATTCCTTTGCAAAGCAACAAGGACAGCATACCATATATACAAACCGATAATCATCATCAGTCTCATGACTCCAAAACTCATTCATCCAATCATCTTGATTACAATCATTAAATATTTTAGCTTTTTTTTCTTATTATAAATTTCCATGCATCTAAATTGGGGAATCCGACACACCTTGGAATATCTCCGGCGTGTCGTACGCAGAGTACTCGGGAAATGCTTTTACAAAGTGCCAATCTTTCAAGTATAGCAACTCATCGTCATTCGCACGATCACCATCGGCATTAACTATGGCGATCGTTTCCTGGCTAATGCCTTGGCGTTGAAGTGAAGTCTTTTTCCATATGTCAATGAATTCACAGAATTTCATGTGGACTCTTGGCTGGTCTGTGAAATACCGCTGCGAACAATTGGCTACCGATACTTGTGCGTCGCCAAACCGTTGACGAAGGTAAGCAAAATTTGGCACTACGTTCTGGGATTCTCGGCGAATTCTATGCACATTTTCGTTACGATTCGTGTCATGGTTGTTATCGTCAATATTGTCCTTGTTTTTGTCTCTGTCTTTGCATCGCTCTTGTCGATTTTCAATGATACCTGTCCATTCTTGCCGTGCTCTCCAGTTTTCTGTTAGAGCAGGTCCAATGAGCACTGGTATGTTTGGATACAGATAGAATCTAAAAAAATCTTCGTATGTGGGCGGTGTGTCCAAGTATGGGATATGATCAACGTGTGTGTAGTCTCGTAGGTAAGGAAGTGACATGGATGATAATATAAAAAGAAACACTTAATTAAGTCGATCGTCTTTATGATGATCACGAGTCTGACGGAGCTACTAATGCTGTAGATGCCGACCGACCGTCGATTTGATAATCAGGTATTTATCCGACAGTACACACGTCCGGCCGTTACACATTTCCTTTCTCACCAAAGTTTTAGCCCAAGTTTTCGATTATACTATCCTTAAAAAAGAAAATGTTTATCCGTGTCACTGCTTCGGATAATTTGTTGATCTGTCTATTTAGTGATTACATAATTCATACAAAAAAAAAGCTCGCCTCGATCTCCAACACCGTTTACTTAGTAATACTAATTTATTTTCAACTATCCGCTCTTGCTTTTTTTTTCGACCTTTCTAAATTTACTGTGCTTAGACTTAAATCATGTCTAGTTTTACTGTACCAACAAATTTAGTTGCTAGCGAGCTGACAACAGCCGAGTTGAATGGAAAGCCTTCACAGGCCACCTTTCACGTTAAGGCTGGTCTAGCACAAATGCTAAAGGTATGCGCTGACAACCCTTGGATAATGATATTTTGTAATGCAATGTTGACTATATTTTGAGGTTATCTGCATTATAGGGTGGAGTTATTATGGATGTAGTAAACGTTGAACAAGCGAGAATAGCCGAAGAAGCAGGCGCCGCGGCTGTTATGGCCTTGGAACGTGTACCAGCAGATATCAGGCGAAATGGTATTCAATATAACATGAACAAGTGATCTGTCGATTAGAATTTGAATATTGACTGATTCCATCATTCGTGCCCTATCCAGGTGGCGTTTCCCGCATGTCTGATCCAAAGATAATCAAGGAGATCAAAGCAGCGGTTACAATTCCCGTAATGGCCAAGGCACGAATTGGACATTTTGTCGAAGCTCAGGTAAAATTTTGTAGTGCATATCAGCGTTCATTCCCAAAAATCAATCTCTCAATTCTATCTTTTTTTTTAAACGCCTAGATTCTCGAAGCTTTGGGAATCGACTATATAGACGAATCGGAAGTCTTGACACCAGCCGATGAGCAACATCATATCAACAAACACAATTTCAAAATACCCTTTGTTTGTGGAGCTCGTAATCTCGGTGAAGCGCTTCGACGTGTATCCGAGGGTGCCACTATGATACGTACAAAAGGCGAGGCTGGAACAGGGAATATAGTCGAGGCAGTGCGCCATATGCGCACGATAACTTCACAAATCAAACGTGCTTCGTCAATGAATGAGGAAGAGTTGTTTGCTTACGCGAAGGAATTGGGTGCACCATATGATTTGTTGAAGCAAACCGCCAAGTTAGGGCGTTTACCAGTTGTTAATTTCTCGGCCGGTGGGATTGCTACGTGAGTGCTTGCATATAATTGGACGTTCGTTCGTTCGTTCGGTTCTAGGCAGATCAAGTCCGTCATGACATTTTTAATGTCTGAATATCGAATAAGCATGCTCGTTTTTTGTTTCCTTCTTCTAACATATTTGACCATTCTCCTTATATTTGTATAGTCCTGCAGATGCAGCGATGATGATGCAGTTAGGATGTGATGGAGTGTTTGTTGGAAGTGGGATCTTTAAATCTGGTAATCCGGCAAGAAGAGCAGAAGCCATTGTGCAGGCGGTAACTCATTATAATGATCCAGAGGTACTAGCTAGAGTGTCGGAGGATCTCGGGGAAGCAATGGTAGGTGTGCAATTTTTATCGCAAGTGTCATATGTGATTTCTACATTTGCTGACATGTACGTGTGCATGTATAATTTAGGTTGGGATAAATATTGATTCATTACCCGAGACAGAGCTTATGGCTAAGAGAGGCTGGTGAATGATCGGAAAAATGTCAGGTCTGCTATGGAGGCTTATGTCTAATATAATGTGTAGCAAACAAAACGTGAAACTATTGCACAGTGTTTAAGGAAACGCTATCGAACGTCTTCTCGCAACTGAACTTGCTTGTTTAATAAAAAGGTTGACATACTAATTAAGAAGATATTTAATATTATGTCGTCATATCTCGAATCTTTGCGTTTCTAAAATATTACATAATCACGTTTCGCCGATGAAATGATTCAAGAAATTGAAACTCAGAGGCAAATTTTTAAATTGGAAATCTCACAGATAGAATTATTCTTAAAACTAGTAAAATTTCGTGAATTAAATTCGTGGACTTGTGGAATATCGAGAACGGCACGAAAAACCACTCCCGAAGAAATAACGGTGATATTAAAGCAATGCGATAATGTAATGAAAAGAGTGATGATAAATCATTCGCGTAATGCTGCAAACTCGCTTTTTGTACATCTTGTCTGCATTCTAATCAAGAAGGCTATCGCAAATAACATTAAATGAACTTGTGCAATCAGATCTTGCCGACTGCTTGAGTCATTTGGAAAAGAATTAGTACAATGTCAGGGCGTGAACCGTATAGTGTTTGACGAAAAAAATTGCCTCACTAAAGTTTTTTGTAGTTCCACAATAATTGCATCAAATTAAACAGTAAATATACGCAGATTTTTATTGATTGCTTTTAATAAGCCCGTTATTTCAATAACTAGTTGACAATGATTTTTTATTGATTTAATATAGTCTCAGGAATATTATTCCACTCCTCCATTATCATCCTTTTTTGGATAAGGGTTTTACATCATTATGATAGTAGCCCATGCATTGTTGCATCCCATTGTTTCAATAAACCAGTAAATGTAATTGTAAAGTGGATATGCATCAGGATGCTTATCAGGATCAGTATTAGTATTAGTATTAGTATCACAACACCATTTGGCAAATTTCTTGTATTCCTCTGGTGCAGAATCAGGCATCAATAGTTGTAGTCCACCCATAATATCACATACTATCCCCAAATGACATCGAATATGTGATGATACCAAGAGAATACACATTTGATTTCTGAGTAAATTTGCAAGCATGGAAGACTTCTGGTGCAACAAAAGGAAAAACACATCGAACAGTTGAATGTGAATTCACTGAGTGTGAGAGACCAAGATCACATCTTAATAGAGAGTATTCGATCCGCTGTGTACACATCATATACATACTTATTCTCCACTTTCTTCCATGATGCCATGATAAATGCTTGTTGCCTGTAGTCCCATTAAACAGGTTGTGGTGCTATACACTGATAACAGAATGTATTTATTATAGACTCAAAATCGCCCGTACACGCCAGACATAACCCACTCTCATAATTTTCTCTTATTAGATAATACTTTTGTTCGCTTGCATCATACATGAATGCAATGTGACCCAAACATTGGCGGTAAGAATATCTAGTATTAAGATCTAAATATTGAAACCCTTTGCTGTTTTCATAGCACTGAGCTTTGTTTAATCCTGCTATACTCGATTTTTTTACGACCTCAACGATATGGTCCACACAATCTACTGTCGTCTTTCGGTAAAGTTTCTTAATCAATCCGAAACTACCATCACACTTAAATTTAGTATGTCCTGGTGCCATAAAATTTTAGTCATAATAGCCGCAGATTACTAAATATAGGTAAAATCAAATAGTGGCATTGTTTTTATTCTGTCCTCCCGCGTTATCGCAAGTAATCTTCAAATGCTTTTCGCCTTTATTCAATCGCTTAATCCCATCGAATACCATGCTCAGTGTGCCATTGGGTCCTTTCCCTATTATGTCGTTTTCATCGAGAACGCAATTAATTTGTTCACGTACTGCTTCGTCTTGAATACCAAATAACTTTACGCGGGCTAAGATAATAAATTTTGTTTACCTGTTGATCCGAATGTGGAACGTGAACATTTTGCGCTCAATCGTAACTGTAATGACGTCGACACTACAATAATCAGCTTTACCTCTTATTATAAAATGCTTATCTACCAATTTTCTTTGTTGCTCTGCTAATTTTGTATTTTGTTGTAATAGAGTTTCTCTCTAATTTGACCTTGACTAGATGTTCTTTGAAATTTTCAGCAAATCTTTCGCCTCTTCTTACGAGCATTATACTGTAACTCATTCCGAAAATGTTGGCACGCGTTACATAAATCCGTTCTTGGACTCATAATATAAAGCGTTAATTGGCGCCATAACTTGCGAAACGCATCATATTTTAACAATTTCAACGTGCTATTGTTTTGTAACAAAAATTACGATAGATCGATTTGTAACTCGTTTCGGCTGGCAATAGTGTAAGCGATTGAGTAATGCGATTGACATTCCTACCAGGACTTGGTAGTCCGTGAATTTCAGCATAGTTTTCAAGAAAATTCTTTACAGCGGTAGCAACGGTTATTTTGGCGGTACTCGTTTGATGTTACCGTGAATGCGGGTATTATACTATCCGTGGCTAGTGTTTTCGAAGTGAGTGCGACCAATTCCTAACATATTAAGACACATTTTCTGACAAAGGGCTGTATTACGGTCTCAGTAGTAAAACGTTCTCTTATTAACACGCGTTTTTTTAAAACGTCGACTGGCACTTATTTCTCCGCCATTCATTGCTTTCAACTGGGCCATTAAAAATATACAGTGAACCCTCCATAAATGCACGCCCTCGGGAATGGAGGAAAGCGGAGTGTGCATTTGAGAGGGTAAGAATTTGATTGGATGCACGTGAAATTAGAAAATAATAAAATATCATTGATTATTTATTATAAAAATTTGATCCTGTCTGTTTCATTGCGGTCATCTTTTTTACATTAATGTATTTGTCAAGAGCTTTGACGTGTTTGAACAATTCCTCAGCATTATCCTGCTGTAGAAAATTTTTGAAGACTCGTTAATACAGATTATTTTATAATCGTGGGCACAGAATTTCTTTATTTGGTCTTTGCGTACAGAAATTTCTTTATTCGGTCTTTGTCTATAATCGTGCGCACAGAAATTTCTTTATATGGTCTTCGTCTATAATCGTGGGTACAAATTTTGTGTAATTTCTTAGCGTAACACTACTTATATCACATAAAGGTCACGGGTGTGTATTTAGAGAGGGAGGTTTACCTATGGTGAGAATTCGAAAAAACCGTGCGGTGCAGAATATGGAGGTGTGCATTTATGGATGGTGCATTTATGGAGGGTTCACTGTATTATGATATATTTTAAGGTTACTGCTGGTTATCGTTACTAATCAAAAAAAGAAAACAAGAAATAAAATAACTCCTCATATATGCCATGTTATTATAGTCAAAAGTAATTTTACTCTCAGAATAGATGTTAACGTGTTATTACCGTAAATTATTAGAATGCAAAATGTTTATATCAAGAAGTCATTAAGAAAGCCAATTAATAATAAACCATGCCAAAAGATTAAAAATAAAATCCGAAAGAATACAATGTTGTTCGAAAGCAAGCACTGTGATTGGTGTTCATCACCATTAACAAAACATTGTTTACTTGTCAGGAAAGTAATGAAGGTTTGCACCGATTTAATACTTTTGTCGAGTCAAGAAACTCTTCTTGGAATAAATAGTAAACACCGCAGATTGTGGCATAATCTACATATTCATATTCGATTCAACTATTATCTCAGAACACGTGTAATGCAAATGGAGAATACTATAGTCTATTATTACGGAACTATACCGTCCGAATGGTAAACTCCTTTGTTTGTTTAATTTGGCTAATTAGAAGATCGGGACACCGGTTTATCTATTCGGTCAAGGTAAAAACCATTTGAATTTTTTATTTATGAAACTGTTACCCCGAGTTATATATTATTTATCAGATCATAGTATCCAACAAAAAAATCGGGTTCGGAAATTATTTAGACAGTTACACGATTGAAACATATCTGTTCCCACTACATATATTAATTAATATTATCATCCATGTAATAGATTTGCACCTCATACTTAGTAATGTTGAAACACTTTGGCAATTATCCACCGTTGGCAATAAAGTCGTATAAATCAACAGTGACATAGGTTCCCGATTATTTTATATTGAATGGTTATATCGAAAATAAAGTCATTTTTACAAAACGTATCGTGACAAACGAAACCTACAATTATGGTGCTTGGCATAGGCTTGGCATAATGTCTCTGAAGGACAATCGTACTGCTTGACAAAGTATGAATCTGACAAATATATAATCTAGAAAACTTTACGAAACTGACAATGCTCATGAACAACCGTTTCTCCACAATGAAGAACGGTCAGGTAGTATGCCTAAACTCGAAATCATTGACGCAAAATACAAGAAGCCACGTATTGAAACTATTAGGAGATCTATTGGCAAGTTCTTACCGGTGTATATTGGGAACAAGGAGCAAACTTTGAAGCAGACAGTAAAGTGTTAACTGAATACAAAAAAGACTTCCTTTAAAAAATTATAACACGGTGAATAAAACAATCATGCATGTATCGCTGGATTAAATTACACACATTTATACTAAAGTCTGATAACCGAAAATTTACTCGACACGGTCAGTCACTTTTCTTTCAAAGATCACAGCCGTTGCGCGAATTAATTACTAGCGAAAAAAAAGTATGCAACTATTACTTCATGACGCATTGACGCTATCGTGAAAATGCGTATAAAATTTCGTTATCGGCCCAATTATCACAATAAAACCACCTCTGTACAAAAAAAAGAATTCAGACATTGTCCGAACATGCTATCTTTACTAATTGCATGTATTGTTATGCAACTGACACATTGGCTATTGAACGCATACTCATGCTTGTTCCAATTCGAGTAAAACTCCTCCACAGTCCTTTGGATGTAAAAAGACAACTGGTTTGCCGTGTGCTCCAATCTTTGGCTTAGGGTCAAGAGATCTGATGCCTCGTTTTGTGAGATCTTGAACTGCCGATGAAACATTGTCTACCTAATAAAAGTTAAA